GCAGTGAAAGTTGTCTTCTGTCTCCAGGGCCGGGTTCTTCAAAGCGGGGTTAAGATAACCCAGGGTTAGTGCGAAATTTTAATTTAGATATAAAAGCTTGCAAAGCAAATTCCCTTTGGTCTGCAATTTGGTGATTGGATGCTCTTAAAATAATAGGAAAAATTATCGGGGAAAATGCCGTTTAAACGAAAGAAATAAAACCAGGGTTAAAATTCGAACAACTGGGCCCAGCTGTTTGAAGGCTGATTAGCGCTAACCAAGGGTTAAATTTTTTACCCTGGGCCCAGTTGTTCGAACGCCAGTTAGCGCTAACCCAGGCTTCTTTTTCTTTTCATCGAAAGCACTCTTTTGGATAATTTTCTATATTTTTTTAGAGTATCCAATCATCAAATTGTAGGCAAAGAGAATTAAACTGAATTTGTTTTTTAAGCTCTCATATCTGAGTTCAAATTTCCCACTAACCTTGGGTTATCTTAACCCAGCTTCGAACAACCCAGCCCAGGTTCCTTTTTCCTTTGTTCAAAAGAATTTTCCCAGATTATTTTCTCTATTCTTTTTAGGCCAGCCAATCATCAAACTGTAGACAAAAAGAATAAAACTGATTTTGCTTTTTAGGCTTTGAAATCTGAATTTTGCACTAACCCTGGGTTATCTTAACCCTGCTTTGAACAACCTGGCCCTGGGCTCTGGATGACAAAACATGAGAGTTACCTGTACCCTTAGTGGCTGAATATTTTGATCGTCTTCCTTGTCATGTCTCTTAAATGATAGGTGATTTTGAGTAAGAATAATATAAAATGTACCATTCAATTCCAAAACCACTAATCCCCCCGGGAATTTGACTGGAGTTTCCATACAGTGGGGAATTTGACCCAAAATGAGGCCCACCCAGTTGGGCATAATTTGACTTTTATCTCAAAACATTGGTCAGCATGGGAAGAAAAAGGATAATTTAATTAGTAATTCTTTCTTCATTCAGCATGTGCACCAGATTCACGGGTTCATTGCCACTGTATTCACTGTCTTGTAATGAACAAAATGCTGTAAGACAGTTTTCAGAGACTTGAAATAATTGGTTGTGTGTGGGTGGGGAATTCGACCATCTAAACTGCCAACATGATATGAGGGTGTTTAACCAAAATTTTTCGAAAAAGTCAAATGCGCGGGGATTTGCCGGGGGTGGGGGCATGGATGTTTTGGAATTAACTGGTACATAACACTAGGCTGAAAACCCATTCAATATCCCCCACTGCATGAGGAATAAAAGGCCAGAAATGAACATTTTAATGATATGCATGTATTGGTCTAACTAACTGTTGTGTTGTTTGTTATTGTTTATTGTGCAGATTCTTTTATCGAAAAAGAATATAACCATTAAAGATGGTGGAAACAACTCTCAACAAGTTATGAAGAGGATAACTGACCTAGAGGAAGAAGTAACATTTCTCAAATCTGAAATTGCCAAAATTATGGTAGGGTAACCTTTGATTTTTAACTACTACCTGTAACAATGATCACAGTGCTCATTTATCTCATTTAAAATGCAGTCTGATAATGGCATTTTCCTTATTTCTCTTAGAAGACAAGCTGCCCATGTGGAAATAATGCTGTTGAGTGTTCAACAACTAAAGAGGGATACATGGTACATAGTCTTTCCAAAGTGATAGCTCCTCCACCACCCCCTCCTCCTCCTGCTCCTCCTCCTCCTCCTCCTGTTCTGCCTCCACCTGCTCCTCCACTGGCATTTCTCAAGAGAAAACAGGTAATGCAGGTGCATGACTATAACAATAGTGCAGTAAAATTATGGTGGCCTACCATAAACTGCTGCTTTAAAGGCCTTAGCCTGCGAATACAGCTGTTTCTCCTATTCTCCTATTTCTCCTTGCCGCTAAGGACGTTTCACCAAGAGGAATGTCTGCAACTGAGCTCTGATTAGTTGACATAGTAGTCATATTGTTTTACCTATTGTTTATGAATGACAGATGTCAAAGACAAAATACTACAAAGGTCAAATGTAAATGTGGTGAATCTACTACAAAACATTCAATATTCCTGGAATATATTCTTCTTTAGAAAAAGCATCTGAGTTTTGCTGGAACTTGTTTGCAAAAGATCACAAAACGTTGACCATAATCGACCAGGAGAAACATAAAATCAAACAAGTTTACATTATTTGGAACCCCATGACTACAGGATTTATGATGTAAACATTGATTTACATTATCAGTATGAAATTTCTGTCGCTGAGTCACAGACGTTCCTCCTGGCAAAACATCCCTAGTGGCGAGGTGAGGAGAAACAACTGTATTCGCAGGCTAAAAGCCCTGGGCTTAAACATCTTTTGGGAGGGCTTACAAACAGACTGAGGGGTTTATTTCCGAGGGGGGTTTAACCCTTATAACAGAATAGGAAAGGCTCTTCAAAACAAGCTATATCAATGCTTGTCAAAATAAGTACTTTTGTATTAACTGTTTTTTTTTTTTAATGAAGCTTCAAAAAATATAATCGAAGTCATTTCAATACAAGCTAGAGGGGGCAAATATAGGAGGGGGGGGGGGGTAATCGGGTGTATTTTATCATTTAAAGGTAGAGGGGGTGACTGCCTATAAAGTTTGGGGGCTTTTTAGAAGCAGTTTATGGTATTCCACTACATGTAA